AAATCAGAAGACCTTATCTGAAAAGGAAGAGCAGAGCACTCGCCTAGCAAGTGTGAGGCCCCTAGTTCAATCCCCAGTACTATTCTCCCCCCACCAAAGAAAAGGAGAACTAGTTCCAAGACCAGCTGAGAGACCCCATAGCTGGATGGACTTGCTTCAAAAAGCCTGCGCTATACCATCATAACTCTAGGCAAGTGGTTTGACCTCTCTGTGCCTCAGTTCCCTCATCTGTGAGCCGAGAGTGCATGCTATTATCTATCTCCAGGGTTGTGGCGAGGAGTCAATGAGTCAATGCTTAGAACAACACCCAGATGCAGCAAATATTCGAGGCACTTTCCGTTACCCTCCTTGGACCTCTGCCGGGTTCCCAGGGCCTCACCTCCATCATGCCAGCTACTTCTTAATAAAATGATGCTTCGAGAGTTCGATCCCAGGCTCTGGAAATAGTGGCTCTCCAGGGCTGTGGCCCTGAAATGTGCCCTTTGCACGCCTGCCTGCTGAGGGTCTGATGGCCGATTGAAAGCTGCTGGTGCCCAGAGCGAGCAGAGACAGGCCACACGTGCCTTTTATGAAAATCCAGCGAGCAGGTAGAAAATGGAGATAACCAGCCCGACCCCACTCAGAGGCAGACGATACTTAATCCTCTGGAACCCAGGTCCACAGCGGGACAGGATGGCCGAGCCGGCCAACCAGGGGCTGCAAGAGACATGAAAAGGTAATAGTGTGACTCAGAGGCGGGATGCAGGTGAGAAAATGAGTCTGATGTGGCTGGCAGCCTCTGGGAGTCCTTGCCTGCAGTGGAACAGGATGGGAGAGGCCGGGGGACAGGCAGCTGTGGGAGGGATGGGGACGTGGGTGGCAGCCTCAGGCTTTACTCTCAGACACTTGCCGCCCAGTGCAGAGACAGGTTCGGGAGACCCAGGGGTGTACTGACTTGTTCCAGGAAAGTTCATGACATCGCCAAACCACAGGACAGACATCTCGTGGTGCCATTTTGCAAGGTGGAAGGCGGAGGACAGGCTAAAGGAAGGCGGGGAGAGAAGTTGTGCTGGACGTTCTTTCGGAGTGGGGAAAACACACACCAGCAGGGAGCGCACTCATGGTTAGCCTTAGGGACCTGACCGAGGTCTGTGAACTTGACCTCATGCAGGAGTGCTGGGAGTTGATCTGGTCCATCCTTCTTCCATCCTTCCGTTAGTGAGCACCAGACCAAGGTTATGTGACAGGTGCACGAAGGGCTTGGCTCCCGCCTGGCCCACAGTGATGGCTCAAAAAGTGCCACCCACTGTGGTCCTGGAGGATCCTTGTAGGAATAGGGCTCCAGGCAGATGTGGACTAAGCTGGAGGTCATCACTGAGTTCTCCAAAATAAATCATGGGTACTACTGCTTGGATCTTGGGTGTCCCCCAAAGGCCCGTGTGGTAAGATCGTCCCCGGCTTAGCGCTACTGGGAGGTGGTGAAAGCTTTAGTGGGAGGTCTCTGGTCATTGGAGGTGTGTCCTTGAAGGGACTGTGAGACCCGTTCTCTTCCTCTGTTTCACAAGGTGAGCAGCTTTGCCCTGTAACATGCTCTATGGTGTCTAGCTTGCCACAGGCCCACAGCAATGAGGTGAACTGATCCTGGACTGACACCTCAAAAATGATGAGACAAAACAACCCTTTTCTTTTTCTAAGTTGACTGCCTCAGGTACTTGGTACAGTACCATCCAAAGAAAGGGCACAGGAAAACCCAAAGTGAATCCGTTCAGTTTCCCACTGCCTCCAACTCAAGATGGTGAAGCAAGGCAAAGCCGCTGTGGCTCTGGGCATCCAACCAGGTTTGCCTTTATATTCTAGGAAAAAGGGGTGCTTGAGTTGGAAATAAAAGTAACAGCACAAGTCCGGCACCAGTGACTCACGCCTGTAATCCTAGCTACTCAGGAGGCAGAGATCAGGAGGATCGCAGTTTGAAGACAGCCCAGGCAAATAACTTATGAGATCCAATCTTGAAAAAAATCCTTCACAAAAAAGGGCTGGTGGAGTGGCTCAAGGTGTAGGTCCTGAGTTCAAACCCCAGCACCACAAAAAATAAATAAATAAAAGCAGCAGCATAGGTTGGGGTTAAGTCCAACATCTGGGCTTGAGTCTTGGTTCTGCCTCATACTGATCTCTTTTTTTTTTGGTGGGACTGGGGGTTGAACTCAAGACTTTGCTCTTCAAAGCAGTCGCTCTACCACTCATACTGATCTTGAACACGTCACTTGGCCTCTTTCACCTCAGTGCCATCATCCGTAAAGTGGGAGGAACCGAACCCACCCTTATCGGGGTTCTCATGAGTGACTGCATGGGCCCTTGGCAAACAGCACTTCCTGTGTTTTCTGTCCTGGCCCAAGGTCATAGACCAAGGACGTGGGAGAGGCAGGATGACACCTGAGTTTTCACTGCCCCCTTCTATTTCTTCACCTTGCTGGCAGGAGAGGAGGGGCAGAGGTGGGGGTCCCAGAGGGGTGGGAGGTGGACTCGGTCTTGGAGAATCAGCACACAGCAGCCCTTGGAAACCAGGACATCCCCAGCTGTGAACCACAGGCTGACTCACAGCCCGTGGGGTCCGTGGAGCAGGTGGGACCAAACCAATGGCATCATGGGTGTTACAGGTGAAACCTTTTCAGCCAAGGGCCGTCACGTTCTTGTCACTCAGAGTTTCCTCTCTGAGCCTGAAAAGTCTGTCTTCCTCTTCCTCTATGCCAAAAGGTCTCTCTCACCCTCTCTCTGTCATGCATATGTATGTGGGGGGGGATGGTTGGGATGTGCAATGAATAATTTATTGCACACATCACTAATTTAATTGCCTTAATAAGCGTCAGGAGCTGCTTACGCTGCTGGAAAAGATCGGGCATAGTGTTGCATCCCAGCTACTCAGAGGCAGAGGCAGGAGGATCAAGGAATGAGGCTGACCCCAGGAAAAAGAACAAAGTCCTCTCTCAAAAGCAAAGTGAAAACAGAAGGGCTGAGGCGCGGCTCAAGTGATAAAACACTTGCCTAGCAAGCAAGAGTCCCTGAGTTCCAACCCAGTACCACCAAAATAGAAAAAGATGCTGGTAGACACAGTGAGGGAGACAGACAAGGTCCCTGCCTCTGTGGACTCCTCTTTGAGGATTATCTTGGTAGATGTCCTCTCTCCCTCCCTCTTTCCTAATTTCCTCCCCACCTCTTCCTCCCCCCTTCTTTCACTGATTCCCTTATTCATAAACACCCCCCTCACTGCCTCCTAGCTTGGCTATCAACAGATGCCATCTGTGACTCTAATATCTCCCTGTCCAGGATGGAATAAGAAGAGGACCTGCCCTACATCTACAGGTGGAGCAGCTCTGGGAGAGCTGAGTTGAACTTGGCTCCCAGCCTGCTGAGGCTGATGGGTGAGTAGTGAGCTGTGGGCTCTGCCCTGGTCATCCTTACGGTACCCTGAGAATCTGAGCAGATGAGCTGGTGCTCTCCTCTGGGCAGGCTGCACACCGGCCAAGGCTGGACTGGGGTGGGTCTTCTTTGCATCCTCTCCTGCCTGCAGGACACTGGTGAGCTCTCCGGGCTTGGGATGCAGGTGCTCACCCTGGTCAGTGCAGCTGAGCCCTTGCTCTGTGTCTGACCACGCTGACAGCCTGTATCTTTTAGGTAATTTGATTTATTCAAATAGCTACTGCTGGCTTTTGTCACTAAGTGGTGGGGCTCATGAACTCAATGAAGGAACCCAGTGAGATCAGAAGTTGAGAGCTTGGCGCAGTGCCTGGCCCAGAGCTAGCACTTAATAAATGTCAGCAATTCTTGTCCTTAAGCCTTGCTATGTGCCATATGCCAGGAATAATACGGAGGTCAGTAAACACAAAGTGGCAGCCATTGCTCCTGCAGCAGCAGAAGCATCCTCTGGTCCTCCTGAGCACTTTCAGACTGAAGTGATCCTCTGTCAAGCAGCACTCAGACAGGTGCTCACACCCCCAGCCTTACAGTGTCGCTGGGAGACAGCAAGGAAAGAAAGGGTGAGTGTGTGCCTGAGGAGCCATGACCCTGCATTTCAGCCAGGTCACCTCTTTTTTTGTCTGGTTCTATTTTTTTTAGGACAGCACAAATCCAACTTTATTTGTTAACCTTTCATAGTTTAAATCACACAGACTCTGGGTCCAATGACCCTGCTGGAAGGTTGCTTGGGAATTTGGCCACAAGCCATGCCTCTGCAGGGTCCGCGTTATCTTGGCCCAGATTTCTGCAGTCCTGTTGGGTTTGCTGCGGAGTGGCTGTGCTGTGTGCTGTTCTTGGCTGCGTACACACAACCACATCCCCTGATCCCATAGGATCTGAGTTCATCTTAGACAAGTGCACCTTCAATATGGCACCCGGGTTTGAACTCAGGGTCTCAATCTTGTCAGGCAGGTGTTCTACCACTTGAGCCACACCCCCGGCCCTTTTGTGCACTAGTTTTTGTTTTTTTTTTCAGAGAAGGTCTCAAGTTTTTGCCTGAGCCGGTCTAGACCGAAATCCTCCTACCTCCATCTCCCAAGTATCTGGGATTACAGGTGTGCACTTCACGTGTGCTTGGCTTCTTAAAAACCTTCAGTTTTAAGAAAAGCTGTGGACTCCCTTTGGTTCTGGAGCCTCTGGCTATAGCAGTGGACGTGACCTTACCCCTCAGCCTTGCTAACCGAGGCCCTTGCAAGCCCCGAAGGCATCAAGGTGGTAGAAGGAGGCCAGGCCACGCCTTTACACTCCGTTTATAAAATTGCGCATTAAGTTTACAATTCCTCGAGCACGCTGGGCTCTGGAGGCTCTGAGGTTGCTAGGGACCCCGGGAGAGGGAAATAGAAACTAGACAACAGTACCCACTTCTCTAGGTTGTAGTGAGAATCAAAGGAGTTTTTTCAAAAAATAGATGTATGTCTGCCTTCAGCCAGTGCCTGGCTCACAGTAACCATCAGTAATGGTGGCGTCCCCACGCCTCCTCCCTCCTCCGCACCCTTCCTCGAAGCACTCACATGAACCTGAGCTCAGACTCCCTCCGCACCAAGACTTCCCGCAGCCGCTGGATTTTCGCCATCTCCAGCTCAATCTCCTCCGGCATCATGGTTGTCTCCGCCATGGAGATGATGTCCAGCTGATCTGCGCAGAGACACAAAACGCAGATGTCAGCACCCCCGGGCCACGTGGATTTTCAAGAATTTCTACCAGGCATGGTGGTGCATGCCTGTAGTCCCAGCACTTGGGAGGCTGAGGCAGGAGGATCGAGAGCCCAGCCTGGGCTATGTAGCAAGGGAAGAAAAAAAAAAAAAAGAATTACCACAGGACACACTGTGCTATTGGGCCAGGGCACAGCCCAAGTGACCGTCACTTACCACGGTGGCCTTGACCTGTGCTACAAATGTGTGCTTGCACAGGGTCCTTTGGAAGCTGGGAAGCACACTTCCCACGGAGCTGTGGTTTAAATGTGGGGCTCTTGTTGGGGCTTGGTCCCCAGTAATGGTGCTGGGAGGTTGTGGGGCCTGTGAGCAGTGATGGGGTATTTAAGTGCCGAATCCCCAAGTTCTCACTTTCCTAGTTATGTGAAGAAGAACAGCTTGGTAGAGAGTTCAAGGGCTGGAGGAGTGGCTCAAGTGGTAGAGCACCTGCATAGTGAGTGCAAGTCCCAGAGTTCAAACCCCAGTACCACAACCACCACCAAAAAATAAATTAAAACCACAATATTTGGGCTGGGGGCACAGCTCAAGCGGTGCAGTGCCTAACTAGCAGTTCAAAGCCCCGAGTTCAAACCCCAGTACTGTAAAAAAAAAAAATATATATATATAGCAAGAAAATGAGTTCAGTTTTCTCGGCTTACCCTTCCTGCCTGCATATACCTGCCATGTGAATTGGCACGAGGCACCCACTGAACGAGGCCACCCAGTCTTGAACTTTCCAGACTTTGCAACTGTGAGCCCCAGTAAACCTCCTTGCTTTATAAATTACCCAGTCCCAGGTATTCTGTTACAGCAACAGAAAATGGACTTAGACACATGGGAATCCTGTGAGGCTGCAAGCAGAAGGTCAGCAGATTCACAAAGAACCTGCTTAAAGCATTATCAGTCTCAGCCTGTCCCCATCTCGGAGCTTCTGTCCCCTTGACCATGGCCACTTTGCACACACTGACCTCGAAGATCAAGGAGGACTCTAAGCAGAGGAAAGTTCTATGCTAATGACCTTACAGCAATACTAAGTAATGTAAATAGTGGTGACACGATAAAAGTAACAGAAGTTTGTTGTAGAAAATTCAAATAACACAGGTGTGCAAAAAAGAATGGTAAGAAGTCATCCATATCCCCACAGCCCAGAGAGAACCCCTGCAAACACTCTGATGGATGTCCTTGCAGTCATCTGTCGTCGCTTCTATCTATATGTCGCATGTAAGAACTATGCATAAGAAATCATATGTGTCATATATGCGTGTACGAATGTCTGCTCAGACTGCCACAACCAAATACTAAAGGCTGAATAACTTCAACAACAGCAATGAATTTTGTCGCAGTCTGGAGGCTGGAAGTGCAAGAGGGTGGTATTAGGTGAGGGCGATCGGCCTTCTCACCAAGGGCCACATAGCCCCTTGGTCATTGTGTATGGGTGGGAGGCTGAGACAAAGAGCAGCACAGCTCTCTGGTGCATCTTCACATCAGGACACTAATCCCATGGGATCAGGGCCCCACCCTGTGACCGAATTTAACCTTTCCTTGGAGGCCCCAGCTCCAAGTACAGCTGCCTTAGGAGCCAGGGTCTCAACATAAGAGTTTCTGGTCCATAACAGTGTGCGTGTATCTGACAGAATGCATGTGTGCGGGATGGTATGGGCTGAGGATCCCTAATCTGAAATACTCCAAACCCCAAACTTTTCAAGCACCAACTTGAAGCCACAAGTGGAAAATTCCACACCTGACCTCATGTGACAGGTCAAAGTCAAAATGCAGGCGCATTAAAGCACGATTAAATGACCTCAGGCTACATGTGTATGAAACATAAGCAAACGGCGTGTGTAGACCTGGGTCCCATCCCCAAGATACCTCATTATGCACATGCAAATGTTCCAAAATCTGAAAAAAACGGAACAGAAACACTTCTGGGCCCCAGCATTTTGGATAAGGGATAACTCAGCCTCTTTATATGGTTGTATATGTAATAAATAACATTACATATACACACACACAATTTTGTTATGTTTACATTTCTTTTAAAACTATTTTTATTAGCAGACATTACCAAGGTGTCCCACTGTGGTTTTTCTGTGTGTGCTCACAGTGTACTCTGAACAAGTTCGCCCCTCTACTGTGTTCATTTAACCCTTGTCCCAGCTCTCCTTTTCCAACCAGTATTTGGTGGGTTTCAACTTGCTATCTTCATATATAAACATATATGTATATTTATTTATTTAAAATATTTAAAGAAAACCACCACACTTCGATCTTCTTCACCACCAGACCCCTCTCCTTTCCCCTCCTCCTCCCACCTGTCCCCCACTGTGATCTCTTTAGCACCCTTTCCCATTGTATATATTATATATGTATATGCACACAATTTAAAAAAATTTTTAAAGACTGAAAAACTGTGTACTGAAATGTCAGCAGCTCAAATGTTAGTATACGCATGCCTGTACATGTGTATAAATATAAATGGATATTTAAGTATATGTGAACATGTATCTTCCTCATTTCATAGGGCTGGTTTTTGTAACCCAGAGCCTCGCTCTTGCTCTTTCTGCACTCACTTAGCACATCAGGAACACTGGTGCCTGTCCTTGGATGTCCTCAGCAGCAGTGTGAAGGCCTGGGTTGTTTTCTATTTGTGGCTGTATTACATTTCCCATCTGCACACTAAGGAGGGTTCTCACTTGTCCCCACCACATGCAGTCCTGTGGGGAGTGTCCCCACGATTCCTCAGGCTACATTTCCAGAGTGAAGCCCGAAGTCTTCAAGGATGCAATGGTCTACAGGCTTTACAGGTAAAGGGGCAACTCAGGGGAGAAGGCAATGTCACCTCAGCCACATCTGCCACCTCCTTCCACACCGAACCACCCTCTAATGCTGGCACTCAGTTCTGCACCTCTGTGTTTGTGTTTTTCCTTACACCCCAATACATGATCTGGAAAGCTGCCCTCATTCCACCCATCTCCCTCTGTGGCCTGGAGCCCTGACCCCGCACACCTGTGCAGGGTTGGGGACGCTGTGACATGCAGACTTTCTTGACATCAGCTGCGGCCTGCTGGCATAATGGAACAGCACCCACTCCCAGCAGCCCCTGCAACACAATCTTCCTTCCCTGCAACACAATCTTCCTTCTGTGGGACTCTCTGGCCCTGAGTTCTTCTGTAGACATTGGATTTTTTTGTAAGCTGCATACCCTTCAGTCTCCTCGCCACCTTAGGGGCTAAAATTACCTGTCTCCCTCCACCAATCAAAATCTTCAAGGAGAAAGGCACTTCCCTGTGGTTGGTTCTCACACTGAAATAAATGGCCTCAGACTGGGGGAGTGGCTCCAGGTAAAGTGCTTGCCTAGCAGAAGGCTCTGAGTTCAATCCCCATTACTGCCAAAAAAAAAAAGGAAGGAGGAGAGGGAGGAAGGGGGAAGAGAGATGGGGGAGAGTGGGGAGAGGGAGGGAGGGAGGAAGGAAGGAATGCCTCCCTTGGAGATAACTCCCACTTTATATAAGAGAAGCAATGACAACAGTAATGGAAAAGGCCAAGCAATGCTGGGAAGGGACTTTGGCATGGCAGTCATCACCCTACTGCAGGTCCCCTTCTCTTGGGTTCCATGACTTTTTGGTCTGTGTATTTCCAGAGTGCTCCAAGATCTCCCAGCACACACAGCGTAGGATGGTGCTGACCTGGGGAGGTGACATGAACCAACTGTCTATAAGAAAGGAAGAGAGGGAAGGCAGATAAAGGGGGAAATGTGGAATCAGGAGACTCATGCTCAGGGAAACAGCAGGTCAAGCTGTCCTTTGGAACTGGTGCCAGGTGAGAGTGAAGAGGGAGAGACAGAAGAGAGAGGGGAGTGACAGAAAGAGGAGGGAAAGCAGAGACCAGGGCAGTGTCCAGCTGGGACTTGGGAAGGGGGAGATGCATATAACAGAGGATTCATAGGTCTCTTTCCATGTGAAAAGGTAGACAGAATTCTCCTTAGGGCCACCAGGTTTGCTTCAAGACCCCAGGAATCAGATTTTGGGTTCTGTTGCTCCAGACAGCAAGCCAAGATGGCTTCTGGGATCGGGGCCATAAGACTCGGCTTGAGGAAGGAAGAAGGGGGAGATTACAGTCATTACAATGCACTGAGCCTTACTGTGTGCTAAGCTCCAACTGGGTTAGAGAGACAGCTTCATTGACTGAGCATGGGGCAATTTACAGTGACCTGGGGTGGGTGGGAGCTTCTGGAGTCTTATTTGGGCCTTATTTGAAGTCCCAGCTCCGGCTGAGGGAGTGGCTCAAATGGTAGAGTGCACGCCTAGCAAGCAGTGAAACCTTGAGTTCAAATCCCAATGCTACCAAAAGAAAAAAAAAAAAAATGAAGTCCCAGCTCTGTGGTCTCAGTTTCTCCTCTGTAACATGAGAGGAGGGGAGGCTCCTCCTCTCCCCGAGGCAGCTGTGAGGATTGGATTGAATCAACCAAGCATGTCGTGGTCAGTATATTGGCCATGATGCTCTTTGGGAGACCTGCTTGCCCACCATTGCTTTTAGTCCTTGCCACAAGGCAGCAGGACCGGATGGTCTCATTTTTTACAAAGAAGGAAACAAAGGCTCAGAGCTGGAAAGAGAAATTGCAAAGCCCATGTCCATAGCCACCTCCAAATTCACACTGGGCCCCCATGCTGCTGCCTGGGGTCTACACAGGCGATCTAAGTCGATACCCCTATTGTTGGTGGTGCCATTGCAAACCACCAAAACAGAGGGCGTGAAAAACCACAGGAGCTGATTCTCTAACAGTTCTGGAGACCAGAGGTCCAAAAGCAAGGTGTCAACAACTCCCTACAAAGCTTCCAGGGAGAGATCCTTCCTGCCTCTCCCAGCTCCCGGTGACTCCTGGCAACTCTTGGCTTGTGGCTCCATCACTCCAACTTCTGCCTGTTTTCATGTGACCAT